TTGCTGTAAATTTGCGAAGCTGTCATTCTTTTGTTTAATAAAGTTCAATCGAATACATTTTTATTGTGAATTCGAGGGGTATGGCCCGGTGCACCTTTTTTGGTGCAGGTGCAACACTCACAGCAGTCTCTAAGTCTAACCTTAAATAACGAAACTCGGCAAAAAAAATCGCTAGCGTTTTCATCCACGCACTATGTGCTCGATAAAATTACTAAATTACATTAAACATTAAATGTTTCTGGCCTTATTAACATAACTTAACTTACTGCATGAGGAAAGATTGCCGACATAGCTATGCATGGGCTTCCTGTCTTGTGGACTTGCGATATTATTAAACTCATGTGAACCAGTGTTTAACTAAGCCGAGAAAGAGGAAAACTTTTTACATTTGGCACAGTATGTAATAATGATGCCGTGGAAACTTTGATTAAGTCATAAGAACATTTCAAAGCTCATTCGAATACACATAAAACGCTCAAAGAAGATTTCCAATAGAAACAAATCACTGGGGGTACTGTAGTTACTTGACCTCGAATAATATTATGATTAGCGGATAAAAAGCTGAAGAAAGATACTGACTTTAGCTAATATATTGTACAGTATCTCGCATATTTTTTTACAGAATATTAACTCCACTTTCTTGAAAATTCCTCTTATGTTGACCTTTTATTTATTAATTATTGGGTAACACAATAGATAACTAGATAAATCTACAACATTAAAAGAAGCCAATCAGAGGCTTTGTTTACAAACTGGCTTGTGAATGTTATTACAAACTTTTGAACTTCGCAACGAATTAACTCGAATTTATGAGCTTCGTGATCAGAAAGAAGTTCGGAACATTTGACAAAAGTTATGTAAAATCGACTGTAAGTCATAAGAACATTTTCAAAGTTCATTGGGTTCCACGGAGAGCGCTAAAAGAAGATTTCGCCATAGAAAGGTAGACATTATTACACAAGTCATTAGTGTACGGCAGCCGTTTGACTTCAAATAATATTACGATTAACGCTTAAAAAGCTGAAGAACGACACAAACTTCAGTTAATGTACAGTATTTCACATTGCTTTGCGATCTATTTAGCTAACAAGATTATATTTAAATTATAATCGGCTATTTTTCAAGGCAATTCATTCATTTTGCCGCTTTGCGTAAACAGCCGTTTTGGGGCAGTTTGACCCTTCCATTACTGGCTCAAACTCTTGAAATTTTGTATGGCCCAAAAATTTTTTTTCTCTAATCGAAAGATCAGTCCTTGCTAAAAACGTTGGTATAATGTTCATGTTCTAATTCGAGGTATCAGTGGCGATATATGGATTTTAATCGGACATAGTCTAAAGTTGCGTAAAACAACCGACAAGTTGAAAAATCGATAAAATATTCAAATCTTGATCAAATTCGACTTTGAGGGCTGCTACTTGTACGTTAGTGTTTGTATTTTATGAAAAATAAGTTTAAATGTGCAGTACTTTTGATTTACCAGCGTAAACAAACTCAATCTGAAGTAGTTTGTATCGCCCTAAAAATAGGGCCGTCAGCCATGAAAACACAAATATCGACTTCTCGTTAAAAATATTTTTCGAATCAAAGTCAAACACATTTTTATATTATCAGGTCCAACTAACTTACATTTTGACAAAGTTTGAGCAATTTTGATTTTTCACGTTCTGCACGACATAGGCGATATTTACAGACAGCCTCTCTTAAAAATGGAAATTGTACAATTTCAAAAAGTATCAACAAGCTCTTTTATTGACTGCAAATTTTTTAAAATCACGTTTCAAGGAAATTGTTCTTTAATCCATTGAGCACCAGCCTTTATGACGAATAAAATTGCTAAGCGTTGGACAGAGTAAAATAAAGTAAGGCGCATTAGGGCGCAACGCAGTTTAATGGGTTAACTAGGCACATGGGCAGATAGTCTGATTAACATATTGAGCGCAAGCGCTCTCCCCTTAACGAATAATATCCTCTGGTGTTAGATGGAGTAAAATAATAAAATAGGACCCATTACAGCGCAATGCAACTTAATGGGTTAAATCTCAATGGATTTTACGCTTCGTGTTAACTTCCTAAGTCACGATTCACGTAAAATAAAACACCCGTTTTCTGCACGTTGCACAGGAAAATGGAAATGACAATTCACTCTTCACGAAGAGAACCTTGACCACCCTCATTGTAGGATTTATACATTTTTTTCTGATCACATTTGCCTAGGAGTTCAAACCCGATGCAAGGACATATCGAGCATTGCCAATGGTTTGGTAACACTGAAGTCGACTGAGTGTGGTGGAAAGGCAGAGTTTTCATGCGACAAATATTACAAACTTGTCGGTAGTCCGCAGATATTTTGTAATGAGAGTGGAAACTGGTCAGAAGGAACGCCATATTGTAAACGTAAATTAATGTTCCGTTACTCATCAGTAGGAATATGCCGCTAGTGTTTCAAAAATGTAGCAAGCTATTTTCATGCAATGCCAGAAATTATGCACGGAACATGATTTTTTCTATATGGTGTCAATTGTTCAGCATCAATGATAATTAATTGCATTTAAATTGACAATATTTAACTATTCTTTTCTGTTTCTCAACTGCCAGGCTAGATACATTTAAAAAGGTTGTTAACTGTATAAATTACAAACAAACACAATGGGAACATGTGCGATCTCAATATTTAAGACACGCCTCCAAGTCGATATTTTCGCAACGATTTGTTTCGCTAACAAATTGGCGATTGGACTAGCTTGAACTGAAACGGGACAAGCGTCCTGAAATTATAGTCTTTCATTCATTCAGGATTTATTTCTTAGTTTATACAGATAATATCCCGTGCCCCTGTGGTTGGAAGAAAATTTTGAATAGCTGTTACCTGTTTGTGAAGAACAAGGTCACTTGGGACACAGCTCGCGAAGATTGTCTGCAACGTGGCGGAGACCTAGTCATTCCTACCAGCACAACAGAATGCGTTCTTCTCAGTCAGCGTGCTTCGATCCTTCAAATGAGTATTCCGTGGATTGGTCTATTCAGGTACCTTAATTATAAACACGGTGTATAAAGAAAGTTATCCAACTTTAATCCTATTACTCTTTCACCCTATAAATTTAAGGCTTTTAGCTTTCAAGAATATCTTTTCTGTTTCATGATTGCGATCGAAATCGCACTTTCCAGCCCCTCGGAATTGAATGCAAAGCTATTATTATCTGGGTGTTAAAATTATTCTCATTTTGGTTGCAACAATTGCCAATACAGACAGTACGCGGATGGGTTGATAATTGTATATTTAAATTTCAAATGGCGATTTAACAATGAGTTTTAGTTCAGTGCGTGCAGTAATAAATTGTTGTCAAATTATTAATGGTTCATTAATGGTTCGAAATCATTAATGGTTAAGTTTGTGAAATGAGCATCGAGAAATAGACTCAATTAACCCACAGAATCTGACTGACCACTCAATTATAACTATATGATCGATATGAATTAGGGAACAAATTATGACTCAGATCGATATAAAGGGAACGTTGCAAGTGATACATACATGCATGCAACATGCATTCAGGCATGCATTTTCCATTTTAATGCAATGTCATCTATGCACTTTTGCCCTATGACCATATTATTAATCATTGTCATACCCGACGCATGACCGTATCTAAAGTCTAAAGTTGCCTATTTTCATTGCCCCAGAAAACCTAACGCTTCATGCATGGAGCGTCTAATTGTTCAGTATAATATTAAACTAGAAAATACATGCGTGCAGAAATTAACCCTCGCCTTGCTGACAAAACCATTGTATTTTCCGAACATGAAGTATCCAAAGTTGTTGTCATGGTAACACGATAATTTTTTAAGAATATTCTTACAAATGAAAAATCGCCTAAAAATATCACTTTTAATTACAAAATTATCAATTTCCCAACATATATATATATGTTAGGTATGTTATTATACGTAATATAAGCTTCAATTTAAGGAAAAATTCAACCACAAAAGCTTCGCAAAACGTTTTAAAATGTTCTTTATAAAACTATTAAAACTGCCATTAATTATTAAAATGGCTTTATCGATAAACTTTGCAATAAAATGATTTCAAATTCTCGCATGCAAATAACTTTGCTTTCTTTTTTATTTAAAAAATACAATATAGGCCTAATAAAAAAGGGAATCAATATTATTAATACACTGAAATTATATGCTGTCTTGTTTAGTTGTTTCATATACGCAAAGCCAAAGGGCCAAAGGGGCCGTCGGGTTTTAAAGCAATTATAAAATCAATATTTAAAACAAACTAACCTTCGTTGACGTCGGCTCCCTTTTTTTAGCTGATTCTTTCGCCCTTTCTTTCTTGAAATTTACAAAATCTTGCAAAAATGCGAGCAAAAATTAAATATGTTTGCAAGAAATTTATCAATCGTCAAATCAAGAAATGTTTGCTATTTCGCTGTCGTCATACAGTCGACAGTCGTTATAATGCAAACTTTAAATTGGACCAATCAGTGTCCGCTATTCATGACAGTCCACCATATTTTTGAGATCAGTGAGGATGACCACCCACCGAACCACCGAACCACTCACGGTAACCCACGCCCGCGCTCATTGATGAACTTTAGACTTGGCTAATGCTTTCGTTTCCCTGGGTGTAAATAGCCGGGGGGAAATAGTACCCTCGCACGGCGCTTCGCGCTGTCGACTCGGGGAAAATTGCGTAACATTAGCTAAATACTTAACAATTATTCGCCGAAGGCGAAGTGATTACCGGTGAATATTCACCGAGACGAAGTCGAGGTGAATATTCACCGTAATGACTGAGCCTGAGGCGAATAATTGTTTTAGTATAAATTTTTAATGAATAAAACAAAATATCCAAGTTATCCAACTATAAGTTTAATTAAAATTCAGAAATAAAACTGTTTTCGACCGGTTTACGGTTTAGTGTTGCAGTGTTTCTTGTACACGCACGCTTTCAAAATGGCTTCCTGTGCGACTTTATTGCTTTATTACAAAGTTATTTTTCTCGATTTCTGCTTAGAATATAAACACAATGATGGAATGACTTTTTTACCAGACTTCGAATTAAAAAATAGTTTCTGTTTAGCATTAATTTGTTCAGGAAATGGCTGAGAAACTTGGTAAAATGAAAACTATATCGTTCGAATTAATATAAAAGTTTTAATACACTTTTCACTTTACAAGTTTTAAAAACACAAATAGTACAATACAGCGAAAGGACACCATACAGCACAATGAAAACACGACATAGTCAAAAGAAATAGTATCGTACAAATTGAGATATTCATAGGATACAAAACAAAATTGTTTTAAAAAGAATATCACGGCTTTTCCCAAAAGTCGGGATATTTTTTGCTATTTCAGATTTACGTTTGAAGCGAATGTTTCGGAGTTTTAAATAAGTTTTAAATTGTCCGTGAATATGTTTGACAAAGTAATATAATACTAAATCCTACCTTTCAAGTTAAATACAACATTTTGTGCTTTTTTTCTTTTTCTGGGACGATTTTTTCAATATTTTGTCGATTTTGAAACCAAATTTGCCGAATCATTCTTTTTGAAAAGCATTATTTACTACCCAGGTGGTAAATAATGCCTCAGATTTACTAGTCAACTAGCCAATCAGAACGCGCGAAAGCTCATTTGATATGCAAAATTTATACTAATATCAGTTATTTGCCACATGAGCTTGGCACTAAAATTATTCATAATTAAATTATGAAACAATTTTTGGCGCTTTTTACAGGCGATATGATGGAAAATTTTACAACACATGTGGAAAGACACCAAACTTCACACGCTGGTATCCGAACCAGCCTGATAATTATGGAAACCGTGAAAAGTGTGGTCACATGCTTGTGAATGGGAAGTATAAAGCAAAGTGGAATGACATGGCTTGTAACGCCAAGTATTCATACATATGTGAATTTAAGCAACCCAGATGTGAGTATCTAGCGAAGATTCTTCGTTGCGGAGCCAGTAGTATGGTTCGGAGACATCCCTCGCTCGAAACGTCGAAGCTTTTGTTATCGGTATAGTTTGATCTTGTAAAATTCGGCAAAAACAATTTTCTGACTGGGAGGCAAGTCTGATTCCTGCATGTAGCGGTGAGGGCAATTGTTCTCCAGTTATATAGTTAAAAGGCCCCAAACAGCGTAATAGTTTAATTCTTCCAGTCTTTTTGCTACACACGTTATGATCCAAGTGTAATTTTACACAGACGCGGAACACTTCATTTGGATGTGCAGTGGATACTGTGAATTGGCTGGCTTACATTTTTATATTGCGCATGCAAGCCACACGAGCATTGCATTTACCCATTATACAATTTCTCTGTCACGGTCTCAGCTTCTCGTTTGCCCTTCTCGCATATATTATGATAGGAAATTTTGAATATTTATGACATTCAAAACATTTTAAAGGCTAGCTGTGTATCGCCTTAGTAAAGTCATCTCTGCTAGCTTCAACAGCCAGAAAGTCCATGAAGGTGAAGTTTTTCCCTTTAAATGTTATAAACATCACATATTTGTAAAATTTCCAATCACAATATGGGCACATTAACATTAATATGTCATATTCCTTCGGCCTCAATATTTCCGAAATATACATTGTTGTTCCAAATATTCAGACCAGAAATATTCCTCTAATTAAACTAATTCAAAATCCACTATTCATTCCTGTTTTAATCACGGTAAAAAAGTCCATAAAAACTCACATCTACAACAGTTAAACTTCTAGTTGGACGCTATACCATACATAGAAGTCGATTTTTATCTAGTAAAAAGTGATTTTAAACCCCTTAAAGTCTTAAGGTTGTTCGATATAGTTTTCTAAAAATGGAAATTCACGATTTAAATCCGTATTTTGGGAGAATAGACTTTATGCATGATGACGTCACAACGCCTGATGCCCGCGAGGAATGCCGGAAAATTTCGATAGTGGTCATTTTGAATTGTTTAATTTTCTCGGGCGATGACTAAGTGACCAGCATTCTTCGCGGCCACAAAGCTATGACGACTGACGTTTCAAAATGGCGGGTATTTTGGCTTTAAAGTATTTTAACTTGTAAACGACATTACTTTAAAGGCAAAACTTCCGCCATCTTGAAATGTCATCGTTGCAGTGACGGCGAAAAAATTATTTTTTGCCCCCCCCCATTTTTCCCCCCCTCCCTCAAAAAAAATGATTAGTCACTAAGAGCGACTAAAGGCTACACAAGCGTTTTGTCGTTATCGGAAAATATATATGGCTTATAAGTTGTCATTACTCATTAGTGAGTGCGCGTATACATGAAACTGTTTTTACAGTTTCAATATTAGTTTGTAAATCTCTGAATGGTAAAACTTGCCAATACTCCAATAATACGTTTCAAAAAAGACAAAAAAGCTTTAGTTTTGCAGAGTTAAATTCTCAAACGTGTAAGGCACTAATAAGATGAAAGTATCACGCCAAATTATTTGAATAAACCACATCGCATATATGGGGGGGGCGAATATCCTAAAAGGGGGGGTTATTCCTACGGTATTCGGGGCGAATCTCCTGGGTGGGGCGACCTTTTTAAAAATTCTATCTTGCCCCCCCCCCCAAATATGAGTTTGCCCCTCAAATGCCCCCCCCCCAAATTCTGAAGCCTGGTGCTGCCACTG